GAAAAACTAAGATAAATAACAGTGTCGGCAAAAGAACGGGCGGGATACATGCCGTATCAAGGAGTTTGCATGGGCACATGTGTGAGTATTCTGACCTGGCGTTTAAGTGGGTTATGACACCGTCCACCGTTTGTACTGCACTCATGCTATAATCTGATGCTCATATGCTATATCCCACTGTGTGAATACGTTAGGGTATCCTCAAGGCATTTTTCTATAATGATACTATGAGGAACTAAGTACATGCACTGGGAGGAACGTAAAGTGCTGTGACACTCGAATAGAAAAATATTGCGTTGCCATTTCAGTAGGTTGTACTTCGTAACCAATCGAACCGGACTAACTTCCCGTGTGCAGTTGGCATGTTTTTGCAGAATTTTTGCCTAAAGAAAGTGATTTGTACTACCCAATTTGTTTTAGCGCTTTTCATGCTCCTATCCAGATGCGCCACCCTGTTCTTTTTTAACAGTTTTCACTGTTGCGACATTGCGATCGATTAAGTATTCTCCGCGTCATCTGGTGGTCCTAGAATTACTTCCATAGGATCAATTTGAACGAAGCTACGAGTCAACCTGTGTTTTCAATTGCGTTTGCCCATGGCTGGCACTGGTCGCTGACATCCACCCACTACAATCCAATTCGAACGGCTTCGCCCTGCAGGAACCAGTGTGGATCAATAAACTAGCCAAACTCTGTGTAGTGCGTCCTTATAGTGCCACACGCATCTACGGTAACCGACGTCGAGCTTGAGACGGGGACAAACAAAGCGAGCACCACTTGCCGTCCGTCTCATATGGTCAGACAAGTGCAGTATTCGCGTGTAACAACGGCTCTCAATGGAACTGCATCCACCTAATCGAAAATGTGGTGAGTCGAAATGTGCACGAGGGGTCTGCAGGGAATTACTTGCATACAAACGGTCGGCTTAAAAGTAAACACAAAGTTGACGCAAAGCAGACCTCTTATTCTTCCACCAACGCACACTGCCTTCTCAGCAAACTGGTAAAGCTTCAGGTACGTCATGCTAGGACGTTGTGGGACCTCAACAGGATAACCAAGACAAGGTTGAGTGAATCGTTCTGGACACAGAAATCGTACCACCTGGAATGTCCGTGCTACACATTACTTTGCCGAATAAAGAAGCAGGTGTATTACTTGATTACTGATTTAGCTGCCTCTTGTTCTAGTCGATGAGCCAGATGCCCAGATTGTCGACGCTCGTTGGTGTCGTCTAAACACAAGACATGGTGACACAATTTCACTTGGCATGGTCAATTTCAGGAAAATCGCCTAGTTTTCATTATGAACCTACCCTTGCACAGGCAAAACGTTACATCCTTCTGATTGACGACTTCAATCTTCACGTGCTAGAAACCCCAGCCTGTTTCGATGCAAAATTCTAAATGAAAGTATATCAGCTAATCATTGGATTACCACCACACAACCATCCTACCTATCTCACAATATTCAGCAAGAGAACAAATCATGTACCTTCAGTCTTGTGTTCCCTAGCGAGGAGCTTGTGATGGAACTAGTATCGTTAGCTAGTCCTTTGGGCTGCAGCGATCATACAACCCACTTATGCAACTGTATCTCTTAGGCAGAGTTTTCCGCAGACAACGCCCGATGACTCTCGGCTGCTTATTGATTACGCTGTTCTGATTATACTCATTATGTACTGGACCGGTCCTTTATAGCTGAACTATCCCCCGACGTCTCCTGGTGGGGTTTTGTTCAGCAATTCAGCAATACACGCCTGGCAGCACTGGCACAAGCACCACCTCACAGCATTTGAACTGCCCCAATGAAGGGCAACCAAGGATGTAACATGTCTGTTTCATCTCCTTTACCAAGTAAGGTTGCAAAACCTTTGGGTCTACAGTGGACAATATCGAAGCCTACGTGACGATTTACTAATGACATACTTTATCCTAAGGAATCTAAAGCATGCTTTTAGTCATCTTCTCAAGCTGAAGCACAATACAACTCTGAGAGGTCACCAGCTAATGCTGACCACACAGCATAGCCGTTTGGATTGTCGCCAGAATTTCTTTCCATCTCGTGTGCCAACTAGGGAACATCCTCCCAACTTACGTTGTTTCTTCCGCACATTGACGGTATTCAAAGATGGTCTAGACTGTGCACTCATGCATTTACCTTAGGCCATATAATCCACCATATCCGGGCGTCAATCTAGCACTACAAAACGATCTGTGTACTTTCAACTTCAGCACATAATTTTTTAAAAGCTACTACTGGATTTACTTAACCCATCCATCCAAGCAAGCTGAAAACGAGGAAGCGTTGTCAATTCTCTTCTTTATTTATTTATTTCTCACGTATTACATGAACTAGAAACACTTACCTTTGTATGCGCGCATGCCATTTGCATCTCAAACTACCACCATACAGCCATGCGGTTAAAGCTGTAATCGCTCAAACTGACGATTCAGTTAATAATGTTGGAGGTTTGTGAGTAGTGTAAAGTTTGTAGGAGGTAGATCACTATTAAAATTCACGCACAATGATGTGCCTCGACGGGGAAACGAACCCCGGTCCACGAATTTTCGGTCCGCTGCTCTGCCACTGAGCTACCGAGGGCTGATGATTAGGTGCGCAAATTTTAACACATGACTTCTGCTTGGTGCGCGACGTATTGCCAATGGGCTCACAGTACCTGTCCTGGTGTTGCAGATTGGCTCACTCAGCAGTCACTTCCCAATGGACCGAAGTACCTGTCCTTCCAATGTCCAATGGGCGATGGTAGATTAATGTTGGATGTTTGTGAGAGGGTAAAGTTTGTAGAAAGTAGAAGTCACGATTAAAATTCACGCACAGTTCAGTTATTACTTGATCTATTTTTGCTCACTATAACTCCCATACGGGAACTGTCAAGTACCTGCTTTTTACCCTTGAGAAACCTTTGTGCATTGTTTATTGTTTGCTTTAAGCTGGTGATGGTAAGATGTTGTGGCTGACTTTCAACAGATGGTGGCGTGGGTTTCCTACGAGCTGATACATCATTATGAGATCGCTCTGTAGACACAGATAACATCCACCGTACGCTTTTAGGTTTCAGCTTGAGCAATTAGGGTATGTATGACAAACCTTTGCCGTTCTTCCTCACCCTGCGCTGTGCCGTATTGTGCGCCTTGTGATGCTTCTGCCAGGAATGACATCCTTGGACAGCTTATTCCACGTGTACTTTCGCGTACACACCCAGGCATTTTCGGAAAGATTGAGGTTTCGCACTTCCCAAACATCCTACTATTGAGGTCAAAGTGCTGGTTTGCTTACCTCGCGGACTTTTCAGTCTGCGTCTAACAACCACGATTATCTTGTACTCTGAGATTGCACTCATGGGAAGCTAATTGTAGCAATTGCAGCATAGGTCAATAGTCGTACGTGTTCTGATGGCGCATGTTCCGCATTTTGTAGTTGGCGGCGTTAAACTGCCGGATGTACTCGACGAACTATGTGCACGCATTATCCAGATCAGCTTCTAGGGCTGTGGGATCATACAATGTAGTGATATCACACCATATATTTAGGTCAGCAGTGAATAGTAGGGAATTTAAAGATAGTGAGGTCTTTTACGAAGACCAAGGTGTGTTAGGACCCGATTACTGAGCCGTTAGGTAAGCCGAATAAACTTCGTTTGGTTCGGATATGGCGCTGCGAGCACTCAAATTCGGATTGCCTATCCAAGCCAGAACGGAATCGCGGATTCCATAATTCTGAGTTCCGCGCAGTAGGATGTAATAGTCCGGACAAGCAAATGCCTTTGATAAAGCCTGGTGGCCGGTATCTACTTATAATATTCTACCATTTAATGTAGAACCTTCTGGCGTTGTTCGACTACGCCAAAGACATGACTACTCGTATTGGATTGAAGCACAAAGCTTGCAGACCAGCTACCAGGAACGTGACCTTGGTATGCTCGTACGGAATGGCCTAAATCGTTCAAAACAGGCTGACGCAATTGCGAAAAGTGGCAGCTGGCACCTTGGAGGGCTGCACAGAGCTTTTGTGAGTTTTGGCCCGTCAATCTTCCCAATGATGCACAATTCCTACGTGCGCCTTCACGTTGAGTACGCCATCCAAGTTAGGCAAACTCGATTGAAGCGTGGCCTAGAGGTGTTTGAGGCCTCACAGCGCAGGGCAACAAAGAATGCCACGGGTGTACGGAATCATTCATAGCAGCGAAGGCTGAAGTTGCTGGGGGATTTAGCGGAAACTACCGAAGGCTAGGAGGCGGTCTCATAAATGTGTACCAAATATCAAGTGGCGCACTAACGTATGCCGTCACTTGCTGAAACCCAGTCACACTATTAAACTGAGAGGGAACTCCCGAATCCAAGTGAATAATACGGCCGTCTAGAGTATCGGCGGAATTAACTTCCTCTTTGGGTTTGCCAAACTTGTAACTGTCTCCAAGACTCAATTGCCTCTTTATCTACGTGGGATACCTTCACAGATCGATTAGACGTTGCGCTTAGCTCCCTGAGCTTTGTGACCTGAGTGTTACTTGGACATATACTCATCTTGCCCTCATACCGAATTTAGGTGTCACATGGACCTAAGGAGGCGGCAAATGAGTGAGCCCTCTTATTTTTAACTTCTCCACACAAGATGTGAACTATACTTGCTCCCACGTTGTCTTGTATATTTGCATTCAATTCTTATTGTTCATTATTCTTATTCAGCAGCACTTTAACTCGATAGCAACTTTCACGGATGATGCTCAGATCGTGTGATTTTGTAGTGTTTGCTCCAAGCACCCAACAGGACTTGGCGATCATGTGCTGTTTGGCCCGCAACTACTCAATGTTCATTGTCCATTGGGTGCCGTCAGCAGCGCGCCTCCCCGGGCTCCAACATAACCTCTCGGCTCTAGGGGCTTGGGCCCCTAAGACTAAACCAGTGAGGTAAGCACCCAGTTATGACATATAAACTTGAGCGCGGTAACCGTGAGACAGTGAAGAATTTGGAACACTTACCTGTTCCATTAGACGCATTTGAAGGCACAGTATCCAGCGCAAGAAAGCGTTCAAAGTTGTCTAGGACCTCCTGCCGCGGTCGACAGAATGCGAGTTCACTGGTCGCATTAGGTTTAGGCACGATTGCCGTACTGGAGAAAGCCCCATTTGACTTAGTAGACTCTCCTTGGGTAGGTGCTTCAATGAGTTCCATCAATTGCATCTGTAAATAACGGCGAAGCTCCCGACCTTCACGTTTCACCTTAAATGACGGCGAGAAGAAGAAGAATGAAAACTGTTTACTGGATTTAGTTAGACTTCACTGTTTATTTCTTCAATATATATATCACAAAATTAATAATTTCAAGATGATCTTGAGCAATTTCACGGTGCAGTGCACAGACATTTCACAGTTTCAAATATCATGGGCTAAGATAATCATACGTAGATGGCCCTTATCTTATCACTTCGCCTAAGGGAAAAATCTAACACTTGCGTCGCAAAACTGTCTCAGATTTTCTGGCACATTAACTTATGGGACCTAGGAGGGTGTCTGCTTAATCTCCTGTGATGGCTCACTTCCTACTGGTTAACATCAGGTTGCGACCATCTCAATTTCAGAATCCTTCAAGTGATTGGATTAGTTACCGCTGCGAATCTAGGGCCTGCCAATCATTGATTCATATACATGTATTTCTTACTGTAGATTTAATTCCACTGGTTCTAGTCACTACTTTTCGATGGTAGAGGGTATCCGGTTGGCGGAAGCAATTACCTCTCGTTAGCGTCCTCTTGATTAAGAATATGATTCGGTTACCAACCTTTGCTCACTAAATCGTTCCGGTTAATGGAACATCTCAGTACTCTAGGGAAGCCATAACCTGTTCTTGCAATTCTTCTGTCTCTATGTCCTCACGCCATGTAGTCAACCAACAAAAGTGTCTTTATTCACCTTGTCTGTGCAACTTCCTGAATGAAAAGTTATAAGTAGCTCTCAGTTTTTGTCGGTCTAAGCTGGGCTATAATCTGTGTCAGGCAGTATATACGAATAAATTTCGGCTAAGTGGATAGCCAACTCAGCAATGAGTTGAATACCATCCCTGCACAAGAATCGCCAGACAGATCAGCGTACACCTTTGTACGGATTAGTATGCCCTCCGCAACTCCAAAGTGCTAAGTGCAGTTGCAGGTCTGAGCCGACATATCATCACTTATCTGAGCTGCTAAACAAACCCCACAGGTTGATAGCAGTCTTCCAACTGGAAGTCAACTCACCAAAGATGTCTCCGTGTAGGTTGGCGATATTCTTGTGGGCTTTCAAAGCTGAATCTATTTACCGAGACGGAGTGATACCATCCCTGCGGTCAGTGAAATTGTACAAGGCTGCTGCAATACCAGTGTTGCTACACTTATCAGACAATGTCCATTAAACACATCAGAAGACAGGTATTGTTTGATAACCGCTGGTTTTACTACACGGATCTAATTGGATGAAACTACCGATGGTGTAATGTCGCTGCAAGCCAGTTAATGCTAGAGGACCTACGCACAGGTACAATGCTACGTGATTCTCTCCACTTAAACCACCTGCGTTAGTGTGAGCATGCCTGCATTTTTGAGTACGTTGACCTCGTACTTTCACCTTGGTGAGTGACTCGTAATGGAGGTCAAGGAGCTAAGTGGCCAAGTGAAGCAAGTGGGGTTAGACACACTGTACTTCCGGATTGGCCGCAAATGTTGTCAACTTCATTTTATGGGTCAAGTTTGAGTCAAATACGTTCTGTCATTCGGTGTGTTCATTCTTTCAACCAAGCAAACGATTTGAACAGGATAACAGGTTTTTAACACTTTCGGAAGCGTTTGGGCTGGTTGTTTAATTGTGTTTCACCTTTACCGTTATGTGTACGACCAGTAAGGAGCGGTGAATTGGTCCACTTTTGTCCTGTTTGATTCATGATCCTCATCAAAAGTCAGGAACATAAAACACACCCCAGGGTTGTCAGCTGCACCAAGGGTATCGGACATTACCTCTCCCTCATTCCGGACGCCGTCATCCTTATTTCAACACAGACCACCAGGCTACTTGGACCGATCAGTAGCTGTGCATATTATACGACTGGTGTAAACTAAAACTCCCATACGAAAACTGACCTGTTTAACCCCACGTTAAACCCTCACATCTATTCCCCTGGTAACTATTATACAAATCGAGCTTAGCCACCGTCCTCACTTTGTGTCAGTAGCTTTCCAGTGTCATAAAACTCCTTAATTAGAAGTTGAAACTACTGCAAGTGAGTTTGTAGCTTTAGCAAGCAATGAGATTACCGCACGAGGGAGCAGCAATTCAACAGCGCAAAATATATATAGATCCAGCCCGACCATTAACCTTGGATAACACTCTGAACCTATTTCTGAGGCGCCGACGCACAACTTGCTATCTTTTATTTTGGATCCTTCGTTCGTAAGCATGTAAGAATTTGTCTAACCTTATGTGGACTCACAATACAGGAAACTGAGGGTTATACGTTTTGCTACTCCTATTGAGATGCCGGTTTTCACGGACTTCGAGATTCAGTTAAAATTAGATTCACAGATAATGTCCTGATTTCTGACTTCATTTGCAATACCAGCTGTTTCGACTCAGCTCATTCAAAATGTACATCACAATATGTCCAATGTTTGTTAGCCGCCATTCTGTAGTGATTTTCTTTCACCTAGGAACATGGGATTTCCACCTGCTGTTGCATCCACAACTTGATCTCAGTCAACATTTATGGTATTTAGTTATTTTCGAAGAATTGAAAGTTGCCTAAAAGTTTTCAATATATACTTGATTTCTTTGCTGTTAGTATCTGGAAGCTTCGATATGATAAGCTAATATTTTATTATCGCAACATCCGGTGTTGAATCACTTGCACTTACGGTGGAATTTCTAAGTTGGAGAGAATATTGTATATTCTTCCTACATTGCTGTTTTTCGTCCAAATGTAAAAGTATTGAATCTCTTTCTTTAGCAAGTGAAACCATACTCCAATAGATGTGTGTCGATAGACCAGTTTCCCGTTTAGCTCTTGTTAGAAAAAATAATCCCTCCCAGAGATGAAAGATACATTTTTGGATTGCAAACATTAATTCAACATGCATTGCTGCCACTTGTCTGCGCATTAGCTGTTGTATACCATCGCAAATCGTCTAGCTGTTTATTAAGCTCTACGAATAGTTCACTCGACCCTGTATTGGATTCAGAACCAATGCAAAC